TCAAGACATTAGCCTCAACCAGACATGACGATTGAGCTACAAATGTCTGGTAGCACAACCCAACACCTGTAAGAAATCTTTAACGTGTAAAATAAATGCTATAACAGCAGCAAAGCACGGAAAGGAATAGCCCTCTGTGAAAAACATGAATCCAGAACATAAACACAGTCATATATACAAACCGTGCCCAAATACATATCTTAAATCCAATTAATTTCTCAGCAAAGGGGAAAAGTTCACACTGTTTGGCTCACAGCTTGAGTTCATTCAGGCTATAGTTAAAGTGACCATTAGCCTATTTACTTTATTCTGGACTTTTGCTAATTATCTCAACTATATAAGTAATTATCTCTCAGATCAAAGAGCTATCCTCTAAGTCTTGTTGATCCCCCACAACCAAATAACTAACCCCCCCACACACACACACGCACACACACACACACACATCATCATCATCATCACCATGTTTTCAGAGCCAGCTGAATCATATGGAGATAAAATACTATCAAAAATGTTACAAATGCGTGTTTAACGTTTTGTCTGTAACAAGCGATTTGTGTGTGTGTGTCATGAGGATCACGCATGCATGCTGTACAAACTGCACATAAAACACATTTTACAAATGTTTAAAATCGATTTTTCGTGTGCAGTTCTTTAGAAAGTACGTACACATTGTTACCTACGCATGCGTGGATCGTCAAACACTCAGCATGCATTTGTGAACAGCATGACACACACACACACACACAAATGGCTTTATAAGTGTAGATTGCGCAGCACGCATGTGTGATCCTCATGACACACACAGACACACACACACAAATCGCTTGTTACAGACAAAACGTTAAACACACATTTGTAACATTTGATAGTATTTTATCTCCATAGAATCATGACATTAACAGATAATTAGACAATTGCTTGGCTACATTTGATTGGGGCATATGTGACAATCAGCTGTCTACGAGTTGAGTTAGCGAATAACAATCCAGAGCGATATTACACACATATTTACACTAGCTACTAGATCTCAGGTGTTAAGCTGCAGCCTTGGTGAGAGCCTGCTAATAATAAATGCATTTTATCTAGGGGTCATTTTTTCCATGTTGAACAGAATTTGCATGTCATTCATTAGCAGTGCTGTTTCTAATCACAGTCCACTCTGATCACAGAATAATGCAGCTGCTTGTTTGACTGCTGTCCAAAAGCCATGACTTAATGGCAGAGGACCTCAAGACTATTAATATACAGCACATATTTGCGTACACATAATCCACTTCCCTGGCTTCATCCACTAGAGCCTCTGGGCTTCTGTTTCTGCAAGCAGACAATAATCAGGTCATCTGGCATCAGGCGTGAATCCATTATTAACAATCTAATGATAATCTCCACAGAAACATGTGACTGCTAGACAACATTTACATGAACTGCATTTAAATTCCTTTAAAGTTGTTTGTTTTGCTCACCTTGGAAACACACTATTTCAACTTGTCCTCTGTAGTAAGAAGTAAACGCACCCCATAAATATTTATCTACCTAGGGCCTGTGCTATTCTGGCCCAGTGTTTTGAATGTGGCCACCAGAGATTTGGCCCATCAGGGATCTGCCCAGAGAGAGAGAGAGAGAAAGAAAGGGGGAAAAAAGAGGGGGGAGCTGGAAGAGAGCGGTACAGGATAATATTTTTGTGCGCGTTACAAGACGGAAAGAGGACAGTTTGCGAGATGTTTAATGCAGGAGGACTGGAGCAGAGTTCAGAGTCTGTTTCCTTTATGAGTCACCTCACAGACCAAGTTTCAGTTGCAAATAAGGGCAGTCTCACTGGCATTCTAAGAGTTTTTCTGCTTGTAGGGAATGTTTTTGTCTTAAATTCATTGTGAAAACATGATTAACCTCTTTAACCCCACTGCTTCATCTGTAGGCCAGTCAGTACAAACTCAATCTTTCTTTGAGCCACAAACCTTTACTATAGAGATCCCAAAGTCTCTAAAAGGATAGCAGATATGTCAGACTTAAACTGGACAAAATGTATATAAAGTAACTCAAGACCAACCAGAAAAAATGTGAACCAGTGGGCTTTAATATGCTAGATTTGAACATGTAGTAGAAGCTGAAACAAAAAAATATTTAGCATTATATCAGATTTTTTTTTTTTTAACTTAAAAACTGACAAATGATTGTTCAACTGATTATTCTTCTATTGTCTAATCGTTTCAGCTGTCCATGCTTCACCCTATTTCCAAATCTTCACTGTATTAAAGCATCTGATAGCCACACAAACGAGACACACCCAACTTCCCTACTTCTGAGTCTGTTCTTAGAAAACCAACAACAGTGGCTCAAGTGCAAAAGAAAAGCCAGCTTCATGGTTCAGCCTCATTCTGTCATGGATTTATCTGAGAAAAGTCAAAAATGCCAAAAATGCCACAAAAAAAAAAAAAAAGAAACTAAGAAAAGAACTTTGCTTTTAACTTATCGCCAACATCTTGGCAGCAGAGGAAGAGTTATCAGGAATTAGTTGCCAGGTCTGACACCAGTGTGCAACCCAGGCAATTTCTGCTGTCACTCGCTGATGTGGGAGCCAAAGAACTGCTGGTGGCACAAGTTCATAATAATCAGATGCATGAATATGAAATATGCGTGCACACGTTTGCAGCTATGAACTTGTGTGGTTCCATGTGCCCGTCTACCTGCCTGTGCGTGAATACATGCAGAGGATTGTGGGAACATGACATTTCCTCCCTGAACTCTGCTGATACCTTTGTGAAGGGGAGTGGGATTATATGTCCACGGCACTCTCGCTCTCACACATGCACACACACCTGTTAAACCGGTGAGCCTGCAGGCTTCCATAACGTCATAGCCCTCCACCTGGATGCTATTGCTGCCTGCGGCTCCCCGCTCCACCACTCTAATGAGCCCGCCTCAACTCAGTCAAAGTCATCTGATGACACTGATGTGGGAAGATTGATATTCACGCTTGACTCGCTGTCCTCTCCACTTGACTGCTGTGTTTACCTCCCCACACAATTAGTATCTGGTGAAGACAGACAGACAAAGAGAAGAGAGAGGGATGGAGTCAGAATCTGCTGTTTGTGTGTGACTACATTAGCTCCAATTGTTTATAAAGATGGGAGATGTCTTTCAATGTGGCTTGAAGGTGGCTTTCTATATAGTACAAGGCTATTACTGGTTCATTTAATCCTCATAAAGCTACTTTACCTCTGCGAATGTCAGTAGCTTGAAATAATAAAAGCTGGATTGGCTTAAATAAAATGCATATTTCAACAGTTTTCTTGCCAAATTTGCATTTAAGATGTGCCTCACTTTGGCCTTTTAAGATTCATTTATAATGAAGCCACAGTCAACACTCCACAAGTGTGGTTTGGTTTCAACTCCTGCCCAGCTCTGTTTACATTAGCAGCTACGCTTCCATCTCTGTTAGCCATCTTTCATTTGAATATTAGCATATAAACAAATAAAACACTTAAGGAGAATTGCCTGCTCACTCTCTGTGAAAAAGAATAAGAAAATAAGGGGGTGGCAGAGACTGACATTAGGAGTGAGTTCAAAGAGGAGAGGAGCCAAAAGCAGCAGCCATGTCCTCAGACTGATTTAGCATTAATTGACATTTTCTCTAATGGGCAAATTCAGAATTTGAATGCTGTGATGAAAACGGATTCTAAGCTGAATACTGATACATACCTGACGAGGAATGAAGAGAGCTGAACTTAGCAGGTGGACACTCAGGTAGGCTGGGTTTGTAAACGACGTCTTACCAAACTGTTTTTGTGTGGAGTCGCAGCGCCTCTCTGTGGACTGTGAGCTGCCTCTTCCTGTGGAGGTAATCCCAAACACATTTCTCAGTTAACATGAGCAGGAGGCATTTTGCTTGTATATCATACCTTATGCATCTATTCCACTACATATTTGAGAAAAATGTTGTGCTTTTCACTTCACTTCTTATTTTACTAGTTGCTTTTAAGATTTTACATGTTTATAGGTGCTTCTTGTTTTTGTTGTTCCATCAGAAACATTTTCCTGGTCCTGGTCAAAAGATTCGCCCCATTTAAAACAATCAAATATTCCATAAAAAAATAAATAAATAAAATAAACAAATGGGTTAGAGAAATTTCCAAAATGAAGACAAATCTGAATAGCTTAACTTCTACTAGTAATAGTATAAAGACAGTCTTTTGCATGTCTATGCTTTTTCCTTATAAAACGTGTCTTTTGGTAACATTTTGAAAGCAGTTTTACTTGTAATAAAATCTTTTTAGATTGTTGTATAGGTATTTGTATTTTGACCACAGATTCAGGTTTATAAAATACTGAAATATCTCCCCAAAAAGTATTTAAAAATGTTGAGGACTGTAATGATTTAATGAATACATTTCCTGGAGCATTTAAAACCTTCTAACCCCTGAATATACTGTATAATTCTTTATCAATCTTTACTAGTAAAGATGGAATTTCAGCAGGGCCCTATATTTGAAAAATTTTAAAATGAAATATATACATAAAATCTAAAATAACTTGGAAATCCAAATTCAACGTGTTTATACAGTTTCTATTTTTGCTGTACCATCTATGCTTTCAGCACATGCAAATTGTGCAGCAGTCTACCAAAATCATGTGTGACAGATCTCTGCAGCCAATAATAGTTGGCAACTTATAGTGTGCAATTTTGAATTCAAGTGCACAATCAGTAGATGAGCATGGTGCAGTGCCACATGGATATAAATAATGTGTTACATTAGCATCTGCCCTCTGCAAACCATGAAGGTGCAGTCCTTGTGACTGACATTTGGATCTTGTGTGCCAAGGCTCAAGAAATGTAAATTTAATAATGACTGAATTCAAACTGTCTTTTTTATTACCAGTTTGTTAGTTACTTTAACGGTTTGTAGATGCCTAAAACAGTTATTTGAACAACAAATGATAGATCACTAAAAGACATTACATAAAAATAAAAGGGCACTTATTCATGTGTGTTTATTTTTATTATATGTATTTATTTTTTGCTTTGCTACAAAACAGCCCCAGCAATATTTTGTGACCTATTTAAAAAAAAACTACTACAGTTAAGTACAAAATAAAACATACCAAAACTACCCAATGCTACCCAGAAAAATAGACAATAGAATAAAATGAATACCTTGAAGTCTACAGCTACAAAAAAAAAGTTAGAAAAGGTTACTTAAAAAGAAGGTAAGTATCCACCACAAAATGTGCCACTTAACCACAGTTTGCACGTCTTTCCTTGAATATAAAGTAATACAATAAGTTAACGCAGGCACAGGTCCCTATGACTACAGCAAAACCAAGTAACGGTCATATGTTTCACAGAAAAATACACTTTACTTTTTTCTCTTTTTTTTGGCAACAATTAACATCACACAGAAAAACACTCAGCAAAAAACATCCAAGGTAGCAACATTTTTGGTTTCTTTAGAACAATAAAAGTTCTGTCCACAACATCAGACACTTACACACTGTATTACTGTGTATTCTGTGAAATCATATAAATATATATAAACAAAAATATACTACAACTATTTTTAGTACAAAAAAGATTAATGCTAAATGGAAGCTTAAGATTATAAACTTGAATAACTTAAAAAATTGAAAAGGGAACGCTTTCATACTTTTCAGAAACATGAAGTTGTAGCCCTAGTCTCCTTAATAATAAGGCTTCCGTACTTTGTTTTATTCTGGATCACAGCATTCACACCTTAGTGCCAAGAATGCATCAAGTATAAATATTAAGAAAACTCCTGTACAATACCCATTATGTCAAAAAAATCTAAATAAGTTAGTGTCAAGCAACTGTACAGATTATTTACAGTTTAAATATAATAGAAGGAGTTTGCAAAAGGAAAATCGTCCTTGACATAACCTTAAGTTTTGGCTACAGCTGATTCAATTCAACTGCAAAGCCTCTATTTAGGAAATGTGTTTTTAATCAGTTCTACTATAGCTACTTTTAAAACACAAAAGATGATTGGCTAACTGCCAAAATAATGGACAGTTTAAAAAAACCTTCCGACTGGAGCCAACTTTTGCTATGTTATTTTTTTTTTATTACAACGTCCTGACACCACAGCTACTCTGGAAGGTTTTTTGTCTTGCAAAGATAAATGAAAATGACAGAACTGGTGAAGTAAGGGTGGAGGTGACGAAATGGGAGCAATCTCTAAGCAGTTACAAGCCTGGAGGTGGAGAGGATAGATGAGACATTCATTTCAGCAGCAGCCGTATCTTGTCGGCACATGGTAGGAGTGTGTATAAGTAGGAATGGATGAGGACGAGAGACCACCTGTTACAGCAGATGCCCAGTAAACATTTGAGTCTCCTGCAGAGACAGAGAGGGGTGGGAAGACGACAGTATTTGGTACTCTAGAGGTACGAGTGTCTGTGGGGGGGGGTTAGCGAATGTCATCAGTCCACGTCACTGAGGTCGCTGACTGGCTCATCCTGCACAATGCTCAGGTGATTCATAGCACGGCTGAAGGCAATCTGGACTGCCTTGCGAATGCTCGATGTGCGTCCCTCCATCATTTTGATCTTGTCTATGGTCTTGTCCATCCCCAGAGGAACCATCTTAGACCTAGGAAGCCATTGCCTAAAGGGCAAAAAACAGCACTGATATTACACAATCAGAATACTAGCTCAGGCTGAATGCTTTCCTGTGATCCTGAAAGTATTACTTCCCAGGAATATATTACAGTTTTCACAAGAAAACTGACATTTCTTACAACAAATTACATTTGATTTTACCACAAAGACAAAGTTTCAGATCCACAGATGTGGCGTAGTCTTTCCTAGCAGCAGATAAAAAGCCAGTTAACGCTGCTAAAGACTGAAAGACATGTTCCCAATGATGGGAGTCCAGGGGAAATTGTTAAATACCTCGAGTGGAGAGCTATTATTTGTTGTCTTTTGACAATTTATGTCACAGCCATAAAATAATGATCATCTGAGAGACAGGTTGACAGGTTTTACCCTTGTAGCTTAGGCTAATCATTCCTACAGATAGTGGCCCTCACCAGCTGCGCTTGTTGTCAAAGAAGAGAACGAGGTAGAGTTTCTCTTCGGATTTGTACTGCATCTGTTCTCCAATGCGTAGCACGTCCATAGGGGGCGTAGGGATGGACACCCCATTGTGCTGGCAGCCCACACGCGACATGTGGGGGTCTATGATCTACACAGGACAAGAGAGTGGGAAGCACAGTTATGCACACATGTTCATAAATGCAAACACACGGCAGATATACAGTACAGTGGCTTCAGAAAGAATTAAGACCCCTTCAGTTTTGAGCCATTTCAAATAAAACCTATAACACAATAATGTGAGCAAAAACTGAAGGGGTCTGAATATTTCCTAAACCCATTGTACATTCACACATGGAATCACTCAAGCATATAGTGAAGATGTTTATACTGCACACACATAAACACAAATGCATACACACTACCAGCTTGTGGTGACAGGACTTCTTTTATCATATGTCCTCTCATGCTAAGGTCAAATTAAACTGGTTAACAGTGAAAGGCTGCCACCTAGAGGAAAACAGAAAATTTTGAAAAGTGTGCACATGCCACCTAAAAGAACCACTACAACAAAGATGCCGCTTTATCTTGTGACACGAGAGTATCATAATTAGGTTCTAGTGTGTCTCAAAGTGAAGACATAATAACAACATGTCAGAGTGAAAAGACTTGGATCGCCGTGCTTTCTCTGTCACACAAACACTCACCAAGGCAGGGTAGGATGGGTATCCACTACATTTGGCCCAAACTAGCTGTAGGGGTTCCAATGCAACTGTTGCAGCACTAGCAGGCATCCAAATGTTGCTGTTGCCAACCTCTATGGAAGTGGGAACAACACCAAACAAGTTATGTGTGGCTTTAAACACAGAAGCACATTTCCAAAGCCATGCTATAAGCGCCAGAGCACACAAATCAAATCAGGGTGGGAAATTAACTTCTCCCTTTAACAGTCACACTGAGCGACAGATATTAAAACTTACTAGTCACTTGTACCATGTAATCAGCCAAATATCAATTTTAGATGAGGAAAGAGTTTTCAGATGCTGACTGGTCATATGCCATGGTGGCAGGCAGAGCACACAGACTCACCAGTTTCTGCCAAAAGTAACAGGGACTTGGCTGGTAGCCGCTGTTAATTTCCAACCCTGCTTTTTATGTGTGCATGAGTAACAGTAGTCTGCAAGTTCTATCATTGTTAAAATGTTGAGACCAAATTATACTGAAGCTAGAATGCAATCTAACACTCATTCTCCTTTTAAACTAATAAAACAGCTCTGCACCTTTTATGGTCTTCACGGTATAATTTGAGACATTTTAACATTTACAGGACCTGGAGACATCTGTGAAAACACAGCTACTTAATGTACTGTATTACTTTATAGGCACACTCAGGTTACAATAAGTGCTGTGTTTTGTTTTGAGCTTTGTTTTCAAACTTGACTGCGTTTAAGCAAACAGCTATCACCTACTGATACTGACAGGACTGCAACTAATGAATATTTTCAGGAACTATCTGACAATTATTTTTCAGTTAATCAAACACTTTGTTTATAAAATGTCAGTAAAAAGTGAAAAATATGATTTCACATAGACCAAGATTATGACTTCAAATGTCTTCTTCGGTCTCAAACCCAAACCTAGGACAGAACATGGACAACAAGACAGTGGAATACAGGACATTTACAAAGGAGACGTAGGGGGTTTTACATTTAGTATGCATGTGTGAGGATGTGTAGTGTGGGTGTGTTCAACTCTATGAAGTCTGGTACTGAGTACATACATACTGTGGCTTTTTTAATAAACAATAAATAATTGTTGCAGCATTAAATTCTGGCTTATCATGCTGATGTCAGTGTGTATTTTAGCTGAAATACAAGAAGAAATTGTAGTAAACTACTTTATAGACTGTAGTATTATTATTCTTATGTGCAATTTGTATTTACTGTTTATTTAGAATTCATTGCACATTTATTTAATTGCAACACAAAATAGCACAATATCAGGACAAAGGACAAAACATGGAAAACAAGACAGTGGAATACAGGACATTTACAAAGGAGACGTAGGGGGTTTTACATTTAGTATGCATGTGTGAGGATGTGTAGTGTGGGTGTGTTCAACTCTATGAAGTCTGGTACTGAGTACATACATATATTAAAAAAAGAATAAATAAATAAGAATAAAAGATAAAGTGAATTGCTCAAATCCAATGTTCTAACCACATGGGTCCTGATTAAGTCTTTTCTGCTTATAGAAAGTCTATACACTTGCAGAGTGCAACAGAATTTCATATTATCAACTAAAAGTCAATATTTCACTGAAAAACTGACACATATTCTATATGTATTTGAATAATATGAATCTGTTCCGTATATAAATACGTTGACTCTTAAAACATAACTTACACATGCATCCTGATCCACTGGATGCCTAATTCAGCCAACTTACCAGCAGCAATTCGTGCAGCTTTTGCAAAGTTCCCGGTTTCAATGCAGGCGATTAATTCGCTCTTATCGTCCACAGTGTTTCTCCGGACCAAGGCAGGTTTTCCCTTCCCACATTTTGGAAGACTGAGAACAGTGCTGGAATCAAAACAGAAGACAAACACACAACAAAGTTAACTTTAGAAAAAACAGTAACTGGACACAAATGATATGTAACTAGAACAAAGTACTGGAAAACCAGCCGACTCACTAAGAGACTAACAGACCAACTGGCATTGCCTTCTGTAGACCCTGGCCTTTTATCAAGTCAGTGTTACATTATTCACAACTTCTTCATTCATATTTTGATGCCAATCCTCACTGACAAAGTGCCAAGAAAGGAAAGCCACAAGAACAGATGGAACCCCCAAGTTGCCCGTGATGGCGGCGCGTATGCACGCAGAGGCCCGGGGCCCTCGGCTTCAACAAAAATTTCGTTGTACGTGTCACAATGTTACAAAAAAAAAAAAAAAAGGTTTCTTCTTCTTCTTCTAGTGATTTACTCTTGTGGATTACCTGGTGCTTCCTGGCAGACTGCTACATGAGGAGATGGAAGACTCTGAGGCACAGCGTCTTCGTGGCTCCATAGCTCTACTGGTTCTGCTGGGTTCTTCTAGCTCCTTATCCTCCTCCACTTCTCGAAAACCACTTGACAGGCCTGAGAAAACACATAATACAAATTCACAACAATCACAAAAATATTCTGTAACCCAAAAGCCTCAATCTGACTCTAAGCCGCTCCTATAAACTGTGATGAATCTGCATCAGCTACAGGTTGTTCAGCCAACCACTAATCTAATTTAAGCAAACACATGTTAAAAAGAAAACAAGTGCTTGTTATTCCTTACTGCTGCGCTACTTGGAATTTGACTGTGATGACTTGAAAGTAGTTTAGCAGCTAATTGCAGTGTTTGCACAACCACTTTCAGCAGCTGGCATCAGGACTAATTCTGCTGTGCCAATTTAATCAAGTGCTTGAAGAATTGTCATCCAAATTCTCACATACTGGAACACAAAGAAATGCTCGCCATGCAGAAGATGTTGTAAATGGCTATAAGATGGTGAAAATATTAATGGCAATACATTATCTGGTATTTTTCTCTGTGCACTTCTTACCATTGTCAGTTCTTTTAACACGAGACTCTCCTTCCTCTTCATGCTCTCTCTCTGCTCCCGCCTCCTCCTCGCCATCTCTACTGCCACTGTGCTTCCTCTTCTTGCTGTGAAGTAATGTCTCCAGCCTGGGTATAACCACTGACAGGAAGGATTTGGACCCCAGCTGTCCACTGTCCTCATCTTCCTCTTCCTTGCCCTCTATACTGTCAACATTGTCGGCCCCCTCGTCTCCTATCCTTGGAGGCTTCTCGGGGCTGGCAGTCTTCGATTTGCAGAAGAGCACGGAGGACCGACAGTTAACAGTGCCTATGGCCTCGGCAGGGGTCGATGTGGCAACCACACTCCTATCTCCGTCCGGCAGGGAGTTCTGGAGGTTGTCATGGGAATGGCCATTGAGCAGTGGGGTTGAGGAGAGCAGATCTGGTATTTCCCCATCAAGTTTGACTTGATTGCTGTGAGTCATGTCTTCGCAGTCTAGGGTGGAATCAATTGGTTTGAGAGTGGGGGGCTCAGGGTCTGTGTCTGAGTGGATGAGGGGAGGTATGGAGTCTGATAGTTCCAGTTTAGGAGGAAGAGACTTGTCTCCTGTGGGGTAGGAGAAGAGGAAAAAAGCACAAACAATCTGACAATACAGCCAATATTACATTGTGACTACCAAGTACCACAGAAATTATTCATGTTATACCACAAATGCTGCTTTTGCACCTATTGCTATGTGCCACAATTAGTTTCATTTGAGTTTTTATTTCATTTTAATTAGATACAGTGCTACGAAGATTTGTGTTTTAAGTACAAATATAAAGAAATATAACAAAAGTATAGCCCTGACAAAGACCAGAAATATGACCTACACTACAACAGTATTCGTGACAGTTGTGTCCTACAACATCCTCATTTTGTCCTTGTATTTGGAGAAATGCTGACATTGCACATTACCATATGGCATTTAGGTTTATGATAAAAACAAAACAAGGTGCTATTTAGCATAACACTGGGGCACTTTTATAAATAAAAAATGAGAGCAAAAATTACTTCTTTCATTCTTTTTCCCCCACGGGCTGATTATTGCACTATCTTCACCAAAATTAATGCGACTCAACATGTATGCCGAATTAAGGTTTGACCAGGCCATAGTGGTGACACATGGTGTTTTCTGCTGCGTGAGCACAACCATCACCTCAATGTGAATTTTAAGTTGTGACTGTCTAGTTCAGCACTTTAGAAAAGATATTTTTGTGTGATGGTACACTCAAGTTTTAAAGTTTCCTTATCTTTTATATAGATCTATATCATTGACCCATGAGAAAATGGTGTGGTTTTGTTTTTCTTTCATGCTTCCACTGAGTTTTTACAGTACACCTACTGCGCTCAAGTCTTTTCCTGAATAAAAATGAAACCATATGGTTGAAGCTTAACACCCTCAGCTGTAATTTCTATACTGAAAGTTGAAACTGTATTTTCTCTCTCACACAGTTAATCAGATAAAGCCTGCTGATGCTCCCTCTGTAACAAACTTTAAATTTTTATGACCCATACTATGTTTGCTGGATCAATTCTGCATAAATTAAAATAGACCTTATTGGTGTAATAAATATTTTCAATGGTGTGCCAATGTCACCTAAAAACCTATTACATATTAACTAATAAGATAACCACTAATAATCCTATTAACATTCAATGGCTTTACCAATTTAAAACATAATGAAGATGATTTAGGAATTAATGGTTTTGTTAACAACAAACATCTAATCTCTGGATATAAAGGACACGAGATTCTCTTTAAAACCACAATGGCAGATTGACAAGCACAAACAAATTCATATTTACCCTCCTCATCTGGGAAATGTCCATTGGTCTTCAGACTCTCTTCTTTAGGTTTACCCAGATGTGGGTGGGAGGAAGCTGATGAAGATGATGCCGATGTGGAAGGAGCTATAGAGGAAGAACAGTGCTGGTGGGAGGGCAGGACTCGCTTTAGGCTCATTTCATTGCGAACATCATTAATGGTCTTTTTGAGCAGCTTGACGCGCTTGCTGCGGGAGGGACTGGACTTCATGGCACAGGTCAGGTCAAACTTCTCGAGCAGTTGCTGAAGCTGCTTGTCCAGAGACAGATGCTCCCGATTGGCTGGCACTAGTAGGCGGGCAACTACAAAAAATAATAATAATAATAATAATGAAAATAAAAATTAGAATAAGTACAAGTTTGCAAACACATTTTATGAATATTTCGCTTTCACTTGTCCTGACTCTAGTGATGCAAATACATCACAGATGCATAAATTACACCCCTTACCATCCTCCCAAGAAAAGGAAGGTGGTGCTCGAATTTCAGGAGCCTCGGCCAGATGCATGCCGCTATCTGCGTCGAAGCCAATTTTCTCCACATCACGGCGGGCTTTTCTGAGCAAGGCTCCACCCTGGTCTCGAAGGCGAACAGCAGCCCGATAAAAATAAGTATCCTTTGAGTTATACTTCATGCAGTTGTCAATAATAAGGTTAAAGTGATTCTCAAACTGCTCAAAGTTGTTGTAGCTCTGAGCATCAATGTGCTGCCGCATGGTGGAGAAATCCATTGGGTGCTTGATGTGGTCAAGGTAGTCAGGCACCTACAAGAAACAGCAGATACTGTATAATGAATTGTTTTCCAATGACTTAAAACAACTTAAAAATGACTATGTTGCTTTTTTACCCATCGTTGTTGACCAGCTTTCAACATTTCACATAGAGCATGTAATATCATTCATGTGTCACATTATTCTTTTGAAACATATTATCCTTTGCAACAAGTAGATTTAACCACTACAGAAACACTATTCCATATTTTTCCATTATAAGAATTAAAACTCAGAAGACACTCTGCCAACAAAACATTTTCCATAAAGGCAAAGTTAACCAAGAACATAAATGACCTACAAGTAATAAAATGAAATCCAGAATCAAAAGCAACACCCAACGTGAGGCTCAAACCCACAACCCTGAGATTAAGAGTCTCATACTCTACCAACTAAGATAGCCAGGATTACAGAAAGAAGTGCCCTTGACATTTTAAAGATGTCACCATCTGCCAGTGGACCTTAATCTCAAGTTACCCATTCCACTTAGCAGGAAGTCACACTGCTCATCAACTTGTCTGAACAGGGAGGTGGGTTGTTTTATAACCTCAGTCAGAACCTGCAACAGTCTTTTGTAGTGATTTGTTCAAGTGTAACTTTTAATTAGTGTTTGGCAATATAAAGGAAACCAGAGGCTGTGTTTATTCTCACTTTGTAATCAGTAGTGGGTTTTGTTTAAGATCTATTTGATGTGTCTGAGCTGTTCAAGGTTAGCAAAGCTCACATCAATGATATCATATTTAACAACATCACACTGTCCTGTATTCCTATATATAATTTGCTTTGATAAAAGAGTAAGAGTTAAGTAAATGTTTCAATGAAATTTATAGAAACAAATCAAAACAGATGCCTATATTTCAACATCCCTGAAGCAGTTATCTGGCAATCATACAGAAAAACAAATACAACAGACCTACGGTATTGCTGTTAGTGGGCTTTCATCCTGACAGGGCTATGCTGAAATATCGTTCATTAAGTCCAGTTTCACTTATCAAACAGAAAGTCTCTAGGTGGCAGTTTAAGTCCTTGTACTTGTTTAAAGTCAGACTGTACACTTCTTAAAAGGTTCCTCATGGTTCCTCATTAAACATGCAAATATAAAAAAAACTCAGATAAAGTATGCCCACATAACAGAAAACAATTACCCCTGCAGAAATAAAACAGCTGTGTACAACAAATAGGATTTTCAGTGAACAAGTGCAACAACAGAACTTCAAAAAGTGCTTAAGTATCCACTGAAGTTCACCTCATTGACATCAACCGGCTGGGCGAAGATCCTGGCCTGGTCTTTTGCCTGGAGCTGGTCCAAAAGAGCTCTGAGCAAAATGTTGAAGGGCGTCAGATGCATCTCTAAAAGGGTCTCCTGCAATTTAATCTACAACACAGTGTAAAAGGAAACATTAGCAGATCAGATTGTTAGTTCAAATGTCTACTTATTGATTTGTCCACTCCTACCTCTTCCCTCTTGAGCTTCTCTCTTTTGCGGATTAGCTCCAACAACAGCCGGGCTCTCTCCAAGTCATGTCGGAGACGGTGCCATTCCTTCAACTGGTCCTTTAATGCCCTACCTTCCTCCTTGCTCTGTCTCTGAAGAAGTCATTCAAATAAAAATGCATGACTAAAAGAACAGAAAATGTTCATCTTGTAAAAGGCCTTTGTATTACTGACATTTCAATTTCTACAAAACTACAAGGAGCTTTGGTAAAAGGCAAAATAAAGATCAAATGTTTTTTGTGGTTGACTGACAGATGAACAAACCGGTTGCACATTCTTCTGAGATTGTAGGCTTGTCTGAAGGCGTCGGATGAGAGGAAGCCCATTCCTGGACTGCCTCTTTAGCGTCCAATAATTTAGGACCAGCTCCACAAATGCCTTCTTCTTCTGGACTGACACCTGGTTCAGAATGGTTTGTAACCTAGAGGAGCAACAAAGATGGGCATTAGTAGTATAAAGCCCATGAGAGATCGCAACACAACTACATCTCTACTTGTAGCGTATTTTACTACCGAAACTGATTTTTGTAAAGTAATAGCCATATACAAGAACCCAGAGGAAGCAAATCTTAGTTGTGTCACAAGGACATGGTCAAATGCTGCAGAAGTAGATTTATTGCCCTACAGATATACAAAAATCTTTTTTATAACACCACACACAAAGCATCAATGCCTAAAATGTAAGCTTAAATAAATATGCCATCCCAACTAACCAAATACTACACTTCCCATCTCCTAGGTATACCTGTGAGCAGGAAAAATAGGCACAGTAGCAGGGGTTGCAGCTTCACTTTCAACTTCAGGGTCAGGCTTCTTACTCTTACTCTTCTTCTTCTTCTTGTGTTTTCCTTTTGAATGTCCTTTGCTAGAACCTCCCACCTTGTCCACTTTCTTACATAGTCCATTTTTTGGTTTGGCATCTTCATAGATTGCAAGTGGCCTCCTTATGCAGCCATTAGGTGTGTGAGCTCCACAGTAGGCTGTCTTTTTCACTGAGAAGGTGGGCTCTCCTGTTGCTGTTACCTCTTTGATTGGCTCCATCTTCATAAAGAGGCCAGCCTTTTGGGCACAGCTCACATGGAAGGCAGTGTAACAGTTGGCTTTGTGGCACTGGATGCATGCCCCAGCACCTTTCTCCTTGCAGAGGTAGCAGCTGAGCTTCCAGCGAGCTGGAGGAATGTGGCTGACACCATCAATAGGTTCAATGAAGGTGGTATTGGAGAAGCCGACCTCAGGAACCCAAAGGGCACACACCACGTGGCCCCAGCGATCATCATCTGTCTTTTTTACTGCACCACCCTTGTTGGGACAGAGGATGCAGTCCACAGGTTGAGTGGGTGCCTGGAGACAATGTCTGCAAAGCCACTGGCCTTCAGGAACGTAGGGCACACCATAGCATTCTTGGTGCACAGCAATGTTGCACATATCACAAAATAAAATAGCATTGCTATTGTGACATTCTCCATCCATGCAGATGCAGCAGATAGCTTCGTCATCAATAGCAGCTTGCTTTTCACTGCCTTGATCCAGACTCTCCAGGTACAACTCTTTCTCAAAGCGGTCAACAAGGAACTCAAAAACATTGTGGGAGACCTGGCTGACACCCTCACTTCGTCGTTTCTCATTAACCAAATCCAGCCAGGCATAATCTTCCTCATCCATGTCATATTCTGTTTCCTCATCCAGCTCTTCTTCTGTCTTTTCTGTGTATTTATAAAATGCAGCTGGTCGCTTAGGAACTGCTGGAAGATTATATTCCACTCTTCGGAACTTAGGTTCTGGAAGCTTTGGACCCACATTACTGCTGGCATGATGACCTCCTTCTCCGTGACCAGTGATGCCCAGTGCAGCATTTCTTTTCTCCTGATTGTTTTTTAGCCTGACTGACCTCAGGAGGACCTGCTGTTGTGGTTTCTCAGCATTCTCCTTATTGCTTGTACACTCCATCATCTCCTGCACTGTCGGGTCATCATCCAAAATCACATCCAGCTTGTCATATATGCTGAGCCGGTGGATACGGCCATCCATCTCAAATTCCACCATGCGCTGTGCCTGGGCATAAGTCAAAATCTGCTTGTTGGGGGAAGGCTTGATGGGAGATGGCGGCCTGTGCGGCACCACAACCCGGTGCTGCCGAGCTTTTTTCTTCATTTTGATGCTCCGTGTTGCTGTGGAGATACAGAATGGGGAGATCTGCATGTATTTCGCTGGAGTCATGTAAAAGTTAAACCAAGGGCAGAAACAGTGGTTGCATTTTATTGAGGTAGTTGCCTTTCAGTGGTCAGGAAAAACACACAATAATAATTTACTGATGCAGTATTCTGTGGAGTAATGCATTTTTATTTATGACTGATACAGACTTCCACATTTCACATTCTAATAGCAAAATACAGTGTATTCAGAAAGTATTCAGACTCCCTTCACTTTTTACACATTTTATTGTATTGTGGATCCAATCCTGAATATACGCAATTACCATTTCTACCCATCATTATACACTTAATCACCCATGATGACAAACTGAAACCAGGGTCACAGAGTTGTCTGAAAATTAATCACTAACACTAAGGTTCGGGTAAAACTTTTGACTGACGTTGCTGCTCCTAACCACTGTGGCTGTGAATGTAGCAGTAGCAGACAGCTCTACATTACAGTTTTGTCTTTGAGCTGAGGCATTTAAATGCAGTGGGAGGCGGCCACGCAGGGAATGTTAAATATGCCTGAGCAGCAGTTAGTACTTGCCCGTTTGGTTCAAAGATGTCATTACTTTTTCACCATCAGCTCAAAGTGGACAAGTTGCTAACAATAACATTAGCTAGCCAGCTAGCTTACTTGCAAGAGGAGCTAGCCATCCCCTAAACGGAGCAAATGGCGTCAAACAAAACGAGAGCTCTTTAAAATAGCGTTCGTTAATTCAAACATAACATTAAACAATCGTTTTGTAGGTGTACTGCATGCTTTCGCGTCGTCAACGCATATAACACAGAAAAGCAAATAAAACCAAAGCACATACCTAGGATGCACGAGCAATTTTGCTAGTTGAAGAATACGGTAGCTAACCAGCAACCTTACAAAGCAATGGCGATACGGCCTGCTAAATGGCTCTAATTCCGTACAAATGTTCTCATCCACCGGCCGATACTGGGGTCTTTTCAGTCGCTAATAAAAGGAGAAAGACGTCTGCTTGGTGCCTGTTAAGTTTCGACATTAAATTCTACAAAGAACACAACTGTTTGCTTTGTGGACCATTCACTGGCTAGAATCTCTCGCTAGCCACAGTCGACCAAGAGGAAAAAGCAGCAACAACAGCAGCAGCACTACAGACGGCTCATCCCCCAACATAACAATGCGTTTCAGCAGACAACTCCCACCCGTACGCACCACTCTACGTATGACGCTGAAGGTCAGGTTGGTGGCGAGTCGTAGATTTCACACAAAAGCCCATCTGTCACACAACCGCAGCATTGCCTTTTGTGAAACCTTACTAGCTATACACAGACAATGCTCCAAACTGTAACGTTAGCTCTCTCTATGTAAAGCTAGACCTATCTCTGGTTTGGCTCTGCGGGTCGGAGTGTTCAGTCATAACCAACATAATGAGTTTCGAACCAGTATGTCTGTCTGTCATACTGGGTGTTATTTGAATCAGCATTTCTCCTCTAGTCACAGAGGGCAGATAGGACGCAGGTAGAACGACAACCAACCGTGCCCCACCCTGGTAACCAGTCGGTCCCAGACGCTATACCTGGCCTCGGGCCAAGCAAAACCCATTCAGTTTACAGCAATAACATTGTGGTGATGAAATCACGTATTGCATGTTAAAATCAAAAATGTTGCAGTGAATATAACACACAGCAGCAGTCGTATATTCACTGAGCAGTAATTATTTCGTAGTGACACGTTACCATATGTGTTGTTGCCTTCTTTCCCCTTAATGTTAAATCAACGAACAGTCGCTTTTACTTTGTTTCAAGGTTGTTGTCAAAACCGCAGTAGCCTTCATGTTTTCACTAATATATAAGTTTAAGCCGTGGCCACCGAAATAATTTAGAAAATGGAAAAGCTATAACAAAGTTTTATTATTATTTTATTATTATTATTATTACTATTATTATTATTATTTCAGTACAAAGTCACTCATAGTAAAATGTTTCGATAAGTTAACCGTTACTCGTAATATAACAAACGCTTGTTTGTTTTGTATATGTGGATCATAAATGGCCATTCAGTCTGCCATTTAAATAATATTAACAATAGAAGCCGAAATATAAGTGGAAAATCAAGGCAAAGCACAGTGTTGCGTGACATATGCTAAAATCTAAGCCCCTTCGCCATACTGAAGATCCTGCGCCTGGTGACATCATTAAAACGTGTTCCTTCCGTCCGACGCTGTGTGGAGCTGCTTCGGCCGAATGTGAACTGCTAGCAAACCAGGAGACAAAAGCAACAAAGTGAACCCCCCTCTGGTTCAATCAAATGTGTCATATTTAACTGTTTAGGAGCCGAAACCTAGTGATCACATCGTCATACTTCACAGTAAGTATGCTGAGCATATGTACGTGTATGGGGAGTGTTTCGTGCTGTCAGGACGTCGTGGTGAGTGCTGGTCTGAATCGGATCCCGTGTGGTTCGTGCGTTTCCTCGGCTGGGTTCTGCCTCGCCAGGTTAGCTAGTCTGTCCTGTTTGGCCTAGCTGGCAGCTAACCAGCTAGCATGTGGTCTGCAATTTACTAAACGCTTCTCCCAAGCCATTATAATGTTAATGGGATAGTTGTATTAGGTACATTGGCTGGAATATTTTTTGTCAACGTTAAAAATCAGAAGTGTTTGTGCCTGTGTGTTATTTGTGTGTATGTTACCCTCGCGGCTAACCTAGTTAGCACCAGCATAGCCACCGTCGTGTTTAGTTACTGATGATGTAGCCTAACTGCCAGTAATGTTTTATTATAACGTTAAATATTTATTGCTATGAGGGTCGCAAAAGTGTTAGGATTTGTGCTATTTGTTGTTCAGTGGGATCAGCCAAAGGCCGGAATGTAGATAGCCATTTACACTTGGTGTGTTATGTGAAGATGAAAGTTAGTCAGCGTTGGCTATTTTGTGCTGTCCTCTCGCATCTTCCTATCACTTGAGCCAAACCCGGAAAAACTGGCTGTCACTGCTCACTTAGGAAATGGCTTGACGCTGCTTGTGTTTTTTGGGAGGCCTACTTAAATGAGATCATGGACAGGTTATTTTGACCGCATTCATAACTTTAAATTAAGATGGGTGACTGGTTATTTTCGGGATAATTTATTGGATTTGCTGCAAGTTCGACTGGATTGCGTTTGAGTGACAGTTGTGTACTTATCTAGGTAAATGTTCTTAGATCCGATGTCTTGCGTGTACACGTATCTTTTGCAATGTTGATTTAAAAAAAACTATGTAGTTAAGAAGTATTGTCCCTCTTATTTTATGCCCATCCTTGGTCAATTAAATTGAATTATAGTAACACAATAATTAGATTATAAGAAAAATAATCATAAATAGACATAATATTCTGAGGCACTAGTCATCTGACCTCACACCCGACCAAATCCTACATCCTGTGGTGTGCTGCCTTCAGGGTACAGGCTATTTAACAAAATATACACCACATTCACTAATTTAATATGCACACCAAGCCACAATAATGCAGAATAATACAGTAGCCCTACAACAAGTCTTAGCTGAATGCAAGTTATGTTCGATGTTTGTTAAAACAGTTTTAGAGATGATATGATGATTCAACCGTTTTGTCATTTTCTGTAGTTTGCAGTTCTTTTAAATTATATTGCATTATGCTCAGATATTTATAATATTTTGTTCCCCCTTTTATATAACGCAAGGTGGACCAAATATTAGAGTCACGTTTTTGAAATAAATGGCACACTAATACTAGGGTTGCAGTAGTGTATCGGTTTTACGGTATACCATAGTATGAAAATTTACAGTTATCACACCATGCACATTTGCTTATTCCTGGTATTGAAGAAATACCAGGAATAAGCAATAAGTGTTTTTCTTCCCCAAAAAATCAGCAGTGTGGGATTACTTTGGATGTACCAAAAATGAACACCATCCCTCCGTGCAGATCAAAGTATGTGGCCCATTCATAACTTTAATGTTGCAGTGAATATAACACACAGCAGCAGTCGTATATTCACTGAGCAGTAATTATTTCGTAGTGACACGTTACCATATGTGTTGTTGCCTTCTTTCCCCTTAATGTTAAATCAACGAACAGTCGCTTTTACTTTGTTTCAAGGTTGTTGTCAAAACCGCAGTAGCCTTCATGTTTTCACTAATATATAAGTTTAAGCCGTGGCCACCGAAATAATTTAGAAAATGGAAAAGCTATAACAAAGTTTTATTATTATTTTATTATTATTATTATTACTATTATTATTATTATTTCAGTACAAAGTCACTCATAGTAAAATGTTTCGATAAGTTAACCGTTACTCGTAATATAACAAACGCTTGTTTGTTTTGTATATGTGGATCATAAATGGCCATTCAGTCTGCCATTTAAATAATATTAACAATAGAAGCCGAAATATAAGTGGAAAATCAAGGCAAAGCACAGTGTTGCGTGACATATGCTAAAATCTAAGCCCCTTCGCCATACTGAAGATCCTGCGCCTGGTGACATCATTAAAACGTGTTCCTTCCGTCCGACGCTGTGTGGAGCTGCTTCGGCCGAATGTGAACTGCTAGCAAACCAGGAGACAAAAGCAACAAAGTGAACCCCCCTCTGGTTCAATCAAATGTGTCATATTTAACTGTTTAGGAGCCGAAACCTAGTGATCACATCGTCATACTTCACAGTAAGTATGCTGAGCATATGTACGTGTATGGGGAGTGTTTCGTGCTGTCAGGACGTCGTGGTGAGTGCTGGTCTGAATCGGATCCCGTGTGGTTCGTGCGTTTCCTCGGCTGGGTTCTGCCTCGCCAGGTTAGCTAGTCTGTCCTGTTTGGCCTAGCTGGCAGCTAACCAGCTAGCATGTGGTCTGCAATTTACTAAACGCTTCTCCCAAGCCATTATAATGTTAATGGGATAGTTGTATTAGGTACATTGGCTGGAATATTTTTTGTCAACGTTAAAAATCAGAAGTGTTTGTGCCTGTGTGTTATTTGTGTGTATGTTACCCTCGCGGCTAACCTAGTTAGCACCAGCATAGCCACCGTCGTGTTTAGTTACTGATGATGTAGCCTAACTGCCAGTAATGTTTTATTATAACGTTAAATATTTATTGCTATGAGGGTCGCAAAAGTGTTAGGATTTGTGCTATTTGTTGTTCAGTGGGATCAGCCAAAGGCCGGAATGTAGATAGCCATTTACACTTGGTGTGTTATGTGAAGATGAAAGTTAGTCAGCGTTGGCTATTTTGTGCTGTCCTCTCGCATCTTCCTATCACTTGAGCCAAACCCGGAAAAACTGGCTGTCACTGCTCACTTAGGAAATGGCTTGACGCTGCTTGTGTTTTTTGGGAGGCCTACTTAAATGAGATCATGGACAGGTTATTTTGACCGCATTCATAACTTTAAATTAAGATGGGTGACTGGTTATTTTCGGGATAATTTATTGGATTTGCTGCAAGTTCGACTGGATTGCGTTTGAGTGACAGTTGTGTACTTATCTAGGTAAATGTTCTTAGATCCGATGTCTTGCGTGTACACGTATCTTTTGCAATGTTGATTTAAAAAAAACTATGTAGTTAAGAAGTATTGTCCCTCTTATTTTATGCCCATCCTTGGTCAATTAAATTGAATTATAGTAACACAATAATTAGATTATAAGAAAAATAATCATAAATAGACATAATATTCTGAGGCACTAGTCATCTGACCTCACACCCGACCAAATCCTACATCCTGTGGTGTGCTGCCTTCAGGGTACAGGCTATTTAACAAAATATACACCACATTCACTAATTTAATATGCACACCAAGCCACAATAATGCAGAATAATACAGTAGCCCTACAACAAGTCTTAGCTGAATGCAAGTTATGTTCGATGTTTGTTAAAACAGTTTTAGAGATGATATGATGATTCAACCGTTTTGTCATTTTCTGTAGTTTGCAGTTCTTTTAAATTATATTGCATTATGCTCAGATATTTATAATATTTTGTTCCCCCTTTTATATAACGCAAGGTGGACCAAATATTAGAGTCACGTTTTTGAAATAAATGGCACACTAATACTAGGGTTGCAGTAGTGTATCGGTTTTACGGTATACCATAGTATGAAAATTTACAGTTATCACACCATGCACATTTGCTTATTCCTGGTATTGAAGAAATACCAGGAATAAGCAATAAGTGTTTTTCTTCCCCAAAAAATCAGCAGTGTGGGATTACTTTGGATGTACCAAAAATGAACACCATCCCTCCGTGCAGATCAAAGTATGTGGCCCATTCATAACTTTAATCCCAAACTATAAAATGTGTGAGCATATAATGTGAATCTTAAAATGTGCTGTTGAAACAGTTTTCCGTCTTTTCTGTTTGTTTGCTAATCTCTGACTTGCAAAAGGACTTTCACTGATCCCCAATCTGACCCCAGAAACACATAGACGATCTTTTCCTGATCACATTAGTGAGGGTGTCTCTCTCTCTCTCTCTCTCTCTGTGTGTGTGTGTGTGTGTGTGTGTGTGTGTGAGAAGTGAAGGTTCAGCCAGGATCAGTCTGGCTGTGCAGTCACGCACCTACAATAAACGAACAACTATTGTGATAATTGTTTAGAGCATTGTGACGGCATTTCTCACTACTGTCACAAGTTTTATAAACCAGTCAATCGACGGAGAAAATAATTAGCAGATTAATCTGTAATGAAAATAATCAGTAGTCCTACTTTGATACAAAATAGTTCAGAAGAGCTCCACCTCAACCAAATTACAACAGTAAAATTCTGCTTTACATCAGTGCACGAGTGATAGGCTATTAATGTAATGATATACATAATACTTTAACAGTATAGTGTATATATAGTGTAACATTTTCGGCACTGAGTAGCCTACTACTTGTAATATGTTAAGTACATTTTCATGATAATACTTTTAATTAACATTTTCAACGCAGGACCTTTACTTGTAACTTTTACAATGTGATAGCAGTACTTTTATTTAAGTAAAGGATGTGAATACTTCCTCTACTACTGGTGCTAAGATGCAAACTAACATGATTTTAGTTATATGCTTTTTGAATCGTCTTTATAATTCTGTTTATTCTTCAGTTGCAATCCAGCTCAATCAACTGTCATAGTCAATTGCATTAAAAACCCCTCTGGTTTCACTGTTTTGAGGGTTGTTATAGCTGATAATAATAGTAATTGTTCAGTAACACTGTGAAAATGTGATATTTTCTGATGGTTATCATATAGTGAAAATCTCATACAACTGCAACCCTAATACACACTATTTTTTTCAACCAAACAATAACCTCTCAGATGATTTCACTGATTAGTAATATCAGCTGTTCTAATGTACTAAAAACATGATCTGTGTTTAATATATTAAAGATTTAAGCAGCGAAGATGTAGAGTTATAGCACGTTTTCAGTTGTGCATAGATCTACTGTAAAATCAATTGTGACAAGAAGAAAATGACCAATGTTAGTGCATACAGATAAGTCCCACAATTCCCTAAGTATTTCATTGCATTGTCCAGTGCACACAGATTTAGAAGGTGACGAGAGAGTATTTAATTATTATTAAGTATTTAAAGGAATAAGCACAGGATAATTTAATATTATAATTTATCTTTAATATTGCAGAAGAAGCTCTGGGAGGTGTTTCTGCTCTTAATGGGTGATTACCATTTTCCAGGCGTCAACTCGAACGTGTCAGCTCTGACACAACTCGGGCCAGATCCCAGGATACTGGGTCCTCCAGAGGACCGAATGTTTCCAAGTGATGCTTGTCAACTTGCAAACTTAAACATTTCCATGTTTATTACTGCAAAGCTGCTTTTTAACAAAAATCAAAGTGGTCAGTACTGGTGGTATAGGAGGACTTACGACTTATTTCAAAACACAGTTTCTTCTGCCAGCCCTTATATAAGGCATCTGGTCAGTTAGTTTTAGAAAATAAAAATGAAAGTAAAATCTAGTTTGCAGTGTTTCTGCATTATTGCAGAATACCTTTATAACCTTTTATTCAGAATCTTGTTATTCCTTAAAATATACTTTAATTTTTCTTTCTCCCTGTCTCTAGGTTGTGGGTGGAGAGGTGGAACTTCAGTCATAAATGGAGAGGGACAAGCAGACACCCTGTGTCCTGGACAGCCACATACACATTACTACACCTGCTTGAGAGCTGCTGTATTGATGACTACACTTAGGAAAAAGTGAATATATTTGACAACGCAGACCTGACTATTCTACAGAAACCCTCGGGCTGCAGCCATGGATGTGAAAGATGAGGTCTTTGATATGAGTGTGGATATGATCAGTGAACCTAATGGCTCCATAGAAATTAAAAAAAGAGAGGCAAAAGGGACCTGCTTGAAAATTGAGGGACAGGATGGGTACGTGTTCAAATCCTATAGCATAAACCCTCATGAGCCTATGGACGCAATGTCACCTGCTTGTTCCTCAACGCTGGATAAGGACTCTCCCCATTCTCTCCACTTATCTTCTCAGGGTGAAAAACAGTTTGACTCAGATGAAGCAAAAGGGATTGATACAGCTTCCCCGACTCTTTTAAACAAATGCCTAAATACTGATGCTGAGGAAAATACAGACAATGAAAAGTATGAAAATGCTAATGAAGCAAGTCAACATATCAAAGAGGAGAGTGGGGATGCAAATGGAAATGATGAAGAAACACAAGATGATGACAGACTCGCATTTGGTAGCTCTGTTGGTCCTTTTGTAACTAGAGATGGTGATGAGTATAGTAATTTACTAAGTGGATACACAAGCACCCTTTATGATGTTGCCATGGACGCTGTCACTCAGAGCCTTCTGTCATCTATGAGGAGTCACACCAACCCAAGAAAAAAATCTCCTGCATGGAATCATTTCTGCATATCACCACGAGACAGTACCAAAGCAATCTGTTTATACTGTATGAAAGAGTTCAGTCGGGGTAAGAACGAGAAAGACCTCAGTACAAGTTGTTTAATGAGGCATGTGCGAAGGGCTCATCCCACTGTGCTTTTACAAGAAGGAGTAGATGCATCCTCAAATAATCTGACTAGCTCCCTTGCCTCATCTTTGATACCTCCATCCCCAAACTCACCAAAAAACGGAGACTTGACAAATAGCATCATTACTCCTGCCTCAAAGAACACTTCACCGTCCACCTCCTCAGCTGAAAATTCAGAGACATCATCCAAAGACGTGTTACCAAAAGTTGAACCAAAACTAGAACTGTATGCCAACAATGACACTGTTTGCAGCACACTCCCATCCTCACATTCCAGTGAAAGCAACCTTGAAGACATGTCAGATGGAGGGCCTGAGCGCCTACCCGGGACCCCAAAAAGCTCTAGTTCTCGTCGGAGATCAGCCGTATGGAAACACTTCTACCTGTCACCTGCAGACAGTTCTAAAGCAGTGTGTATCCACTGCATGAATGAGTTCAGTAGGGGTAAAAATGGTAAGGATCTAGGGACAAGCTGTCTTATTCGTCATATGTGGAGGGCTCACAAAGAGGTTGTCATTGAGGAAAATGGGCAGGGCAATCACATTCCCCCACCTTATACAAATCCACCCTCACTTTTGTCCCGAACACAACTACAGGATCAGCTGGAACTAAAAAAAGAGTCACCATTTCTTCCATCCTCACCAGAAACCATATCAGATGAATTACCCCAGAGCATGGAGGAAACCATGGATATCAAGGAGGAATCTGAGGTGATGCATCTCTCAGGGCACAAATCCTCACTCAATCTCTCCTTCAAAATTCAGGGGGAGGATACACCCCTGACTTCCTCACCGTGTGATCTCTCTGAGGGCAGCAGTCTAAACCAGGATCATTCAGTTTTTCAGCAAAACAAGAAGATCATGAAACGGGTGAAATCTGAAGTGTGGCACCATTTCATAGTGTCACCAGTTGACCAGTTAAAAGCACTGTGCCGTTACTGTCCATGCGTCATCAGTCGGGGGAAACGGGGCGACTTTGGTACAAGCTGTCTGATGAGGCATCTTATGAGGCGTCATCCTGACGTTCTCAAAAACCAAAAAAGCACAGATGAGAAGGAATCCTCCCCTCATCCTTATACCAATCTCACTGCAACAGACACAGTTTCAACCAAAGAAACTGAGAGCCCTGCCGGTGAGAAGAAGCCTCAAACCCTGCCTGTTTTTAGTAAAAAGACATCAAAACTGTGGAACCATTTCTCTATTTCACCTGCTGACCCCACAAAGGTAGTTTGTTTGCACTGTAGCCGCACAATTAGCAGAGGCAAAAAGACTACAAACCTTGGCACAAGCTGCCTTTTCAGGCACATGCAAAGGTTTCATGGACATGTTCTTGAAAGTAACAATACTATCTCAGGTGATGTGCTATCTGCTGAAATTCATGTTAAACAAGAGCTCATGGACACTTCTGTTTTTGAAGCAGAGCAGAACAGTGAGAGGTTTGATGAACACCACCCGGTTGCCAAAAAAATCACCAAACTTATTGCAGAAATGCTCGCACTGGATCTCCAGCCATCAACTATGGTAGAGAATGCTGGACTGAACAGACTGCTAGAGTACCTCCAGCCTCAGTATTCTCTACCATCTTCTTCTTATTTTACCAGCACTGCCATACCAGACATGTATGAAAAGGTGAAGGATGTTGTGCTGGCCCATCTGAAAGAGGCTGAAGGTAGTGTTGTCCACTTTACAACTAGTATTTGGGTCAGTAGCCAGACAAGGGAATACCTGACCCTCACTGCCCACTGGGCGACGTACGAGTCAAGTGTCAGACCCCAGGGCCAGGACTTTCACTGCTCTGCTCTCCTAAGTGTCTCACAAATAGACTGTGATCATGATATGCATAACATCCCAAAGCAGCTTGAATATCTGTGGGACTCCTGGATCAACTCATCAGGGCTGAAAAAAGGGTTCACTGTAACTGATAACACCACAATTAAAAACACCTTGGAGGACCATGGCCATGTCACCATGCAGTGTTTTGGACACACCATAGACCTCATTGTTAGCGAAGCCATAAAGAGCCAGAGAATGGTTCAGAACCTTCTGAGTATTGCACGAAAGATATGTGAACGTGTGCATCGCTCAGCAAAGGCCAAGGAGAAGCTGGCTGAGCTCCAGAGGACTCACCAGCTGCCAGAGAACCAGCTGATTCAGGATATTCCCTCCAAATGGAGAACCTCCTTTTTCATGTTGGAACGACTGGTGGAGCAGAAGAAAGCTATTGACGAGATGTCAATAGAGTGCAATTTCAGGGAAATGATTAGCTGCGATCAGTGGGAAGTGATGCAGTCAGTCTGCAATGCACTAAAGCCTTTTGAAGTCGCCTGCAGGGAGATGAGCAATCACACTGCCACTCTGGGACAAGTGATACCACTCATTCACATCCTCAATAGAAAAATAGACCTGCTGTTTGATGAGACTGTGGGCATAGATAACATGCTCAAGTCTCTAAAAGAAGCCATGGTGAGCAGAATGTCCACAACTCTGCATGACCCACGATACACCTGGGCGACAATGCTGGACCCACGATACAAGACTTCATTGTTCACAGAGGAAGAAGCGGAGCAATGTAAACAAGATCTGATTCAGGAGCTGGACTTGTCCTCTTCTACCTCAGTTGCAGTTAAGCCTCCACTGCCCAATGGCTGCAACGAGGCCGCCGTTTCATCTAACACCTCCCACTCAAACAAGGACAACCTCTGGTCTCTAATGGCTGACATCCGACAAAAGATAAAACACGAGGAGAAGCCAAAGTCCTCAGAGTTAGCAGTGCTGGAGTACCTTGAGGAAGACATACTTGATCAAAGCTGTGACCCCCTCGACTATTGGAACCTAAAAAAGTTCCTGTGGCCCGATCTTGCCAAAGTAGCTGCCCGTTATGTGGGCTGCCCTCCCAGCATTGTCCCAGTAGAGACACTGTTCAGCACAGCTAGTGTCAATTGTGCCCTGAATCAGCCCAGGCCTTTACTGGAAAACATAGAGGGTCTGCTGTTCCTCAAGGTCAATCTCCCTTTGATTTATTTTCAGTACTGATTATTATTGAGTATTAACTTGAAAACCCTTTATCAAGGACCAAGTTGCTTAGCTGTGAAATTGATTTTTTTTTTTTCCTTCTATTGGACAAAATGTAAAATACTGATTTATACACTGATTGATTCTCAATGCAAAAGGCCAGATTAAGGTTTTATTATATTCTACATACTACTGTTAAACACTTTGGAGCGGCTGTGATGAAAAATCTCAGTCAGAAGTGTATTGCTATTGGCTGGGGGGTTTTTTTTTTTTTTTTCTTTTAGTAGTAGGGGTTGGTGATTGTTTGCTTATAAATTAACATTTGTTTTCTGTGTGTACTCTCTTCTTGTGCCTTATCCAAAATTACTTCAGGTCAAAAAAAAAAAAAAAAGCTGTAAATATTTTTGTTAAAATGTTTAGATTGTGTCAGGATGCTGTTTGATTATTAAGGATTAAAGATAGATGCAGAGCTGTTTTCCAAGTGGCTCAAAAATAAATGCTGTGACTGAAAGATATTTTAAGTTAATGTTATTTAATTTTCATTGTGGATTTGTGGCTCATGGTACTGTCATTTAGAAATAGACCTTTTTTACTTGCTGAAATGTTTTTAATAAGATCATGTATAATATTGCTGTATTTTCAGAATAAGAAGCTTGTTTGGAATATACAACTTGTCTTGAGCACAATTTAAGTTTATGTCCAGGGGATTAAATTATGGGTTTATTACTGAATAAAACAATGTACTGTAAATTTTATGACTTCTGAACATAATTTGATAAATGTTAGCATTGAGACTGAAACCATGCAAATTGTGGTCATTTGTAAATAAAGGGTCTACTTATGCAATTTTGCAGAGGTTTTTTTTGGAGGGGGGTTTACCACATACATATTTTAGAGTTTAGAGTTATTAGTCATGTGCAGGATTGAAACTGAAAAGTCAAATAATCTGGATGCTTACACTGTTTCAAATGTTTTGCTTTATGCCTGAGTCAAGTTTATTCATCTGTAACTTTTTTTTTTTTTTTTTTGCAAAATATAAAAAATCACATTGAGGTAAAAAATACAGAAGGTGAATTTGCCTCTTTGCATGAGAAAAGAAAACAATTTGAACTGGTACAGCATTTAAAACCTCAGAAAAGATGCATGCAAGTGTTTTCAATGCAGCATGTTTGTGTCTGGATAGCAAGTTAGCTGTTAATCTGTTGTAGAATGTGACATTCCCTGTAGTTATAACTGCTACAAAACACTGCCACATCTGCTCATATTTTTGTCAACAAGAAAACATTACTTTTTATTCCATCACTTAATTCCCGTTGGTCACTCATTTTGTTGCCAGGTCTCAGTCTTTTTCTCCATCAGCACAGTTTTTTTCTCTAGTTGCACAATGACAGGAGGAAAGTGAAACATGTTGAAGACAATGTTGCTATAACCTGCTATGAAGGCCAATGGCTGATGATTGTCCTGGAGTAGCTGTATCTTGGTGACATTAGCCTCCATTAGCAGGTGTGAGTACATTTTGATCTCAGGATTTGTTGGGCTCAAGTCTTCCCGTTTGTCATATCTGTCAAGTCATTACAAAACCTTCAACGATAATATTGCACACATCAAATTTATTAAAGTTAAAAATAATTTAAAAAATACACTAACCTCCACTTTTGGTTTTGCTCTAAGAAGCGCGATATTCCAGTTTGAGCAGCATAAGTGTCAATATGAACAAAGACATCTGCGGGAACAAAACCAAAATAACAATGCAACAGCACTGAGCATGTGGTCTCTGAATAAATCTTATGTAGGTCTTTCATATCAATCACTATATAGTGCAATTTCTGAAATCAAGTAACATGCAGAATTTTTAATTCACCCCTATACAACTGAACAGTTTTCCAAGAAGGAACACAAAGATTGGATAATCTGATACAATACCTGCAATTAATTTTTAAATGTTATTGGTAACATGATTACAACTACAAATATAAAAATGAAAATAATTCCAACCTGCATTTGCTGGCAGCAGTCTGTGCAATGTTTGCATCCCATGACCTCCTGGGTAGTTGTGGTAGGAAACATAGAGGCAAATACTAGAATACACTACATTAGTAAACAGCTGGCCAATCACAACTGCAGAACCCAGTTTATAAATCCAGGATTTCCGGTAGTTGCACAAACTAAAAGCACACAAGGAAAAAAAAAAGAAAGAATAAGAACAGATGCAGTCACATACTCTCGCACTGTTACAAGACAGCATCATTGTTTACACTACATCTTTGTCCATCTTCTACTCCTTATTTGGTTCTATAAAAGTGACATTTGTCTGCTGAAGTGATGAAAATGACAGGTTTATGTTTTTAGTGGTGTTTTATGTTTTGACTTACATGAAAGAACAGCCACGGGAAGCTACCAGACTGAGCACGGGGAAAGTGTATATGATGAAGCGGAGCTCCTTGTGGGGCAGCAATGAGTAGATGAGGATGAAGCCTATTGTGGGTAGTAGCAGCAGCCCCATCCGCCTGTCAAGAAGACCGAGGGGGACAAATAGCAGAGTGCAACCCAGGGCTCTGGGCACTGCAGAGTAAAAGTACCAAAGAAATGGAGAGGTGTACTGGGAGAAGAGTCAAAGAGAACTGGGGCAGAGATCTCCTTTAGTGATTGCAAATTAAAGTAAATGTATAAGACAGATGTATAATCTACTGGAGTAAATGAAAGGATATTCCCCAGTTGGAACTTTTGTTGAGAATGGTGTTGTACCATAAAACTTGACCTTCAGGCCACAGAAACGTCCTCCAAAAAAAGGTGTCAACAGCCACTGTCAGAGCTTAAACAAAGGAAATCAAAGCAATCTTCATGCACATGTTTAATTTAGGCAATTTATTATTTATGTACTGTACATTCATCACTCACCTAATGACAAGATCCCAGCAGGAACAGCATAGTAAAGCAGCTGCAGCAGTCCCAGTTTCCTGCTCAGCAGTGATACCAGCAACATGAGACCCAAGAAGATGCAGAGCTCTGACCGGAACACAATGATGACCAAAGCTGAGAGGCTGATGAAGCAGCCATATTTATGAGCCATCCAAGATGTGAATGCTACAAGAACTGGAAACAGAAATGTACTGCCATTATGTCACATAGATTTTCTCGCTCATTTAGAAAAAAAAAATTAAAAAAATAACTTAATCTACCCTTTCAGGAAATTTTTATTTTTATTAACCATGCAACTTACCTAATGGCAGTGCAAATACATTAGGGAGTGTCCTGGTGCTGTAGAACATTAGGTGAAACTGTGAAGCACAAATCAGACAGAAGAGCCCTGCAACTGTGGAGCCAAACTGCTTTCTCACCTCTCTCTGCATATGCCATAGTGCACCAATAACACATACTCCTAAGGAAGCTCGAACTGCACAAATCACATCAACAGAACACATTTCAACAGTTTGACAGGGGTAGGACTGATTTGAACATGTCAGTGACTTTGAAAATGACAAATAAAGACATGTAGCGTGATTTACCCATCAGCTGTGTGTAGAACTTTGGTACATCCAGCAAAGAGAACAGAAACACCACAGGAAAGGAGAGCATGGAGAGGAAGAGGGGGCCAAGGAAAGTCCGTGGTACCACACCAGGAAACTCATGATGGTCATACTGAAAGAGAGTACAGGTACTCTATTGAGTCTCAACAACACAAACACAGGCAGAATGACTTAGAGAAAATATTTTTTCACTTGATTTTTTTTAAAGTTCATTCTTAACCTTGGAAACATCATCTGAGAAAACAATCTAATCTCAAATTCTATTTAATATCTGTTCTAGAGTTATTAATCATAACATCATCAGGAGATGGATTTTAGCCTGTTATAGTGGAACTGTGGAATTTTTTTTTTTATTTTTTTGTCCTAACCAACTGGGCATGCTCCCTCTCATTTGGAAGAGGAACATACTCAATGGACCTCCTAAATGGACCTTTTGATAAGATTTTATCAACAGTTTCCTGAGTTTGGTACTGTGTAGATAATTATGATACATACCCACGTGTTAAACAACAAATACAATATGCATTTGATGCAAACTGCATACAGTAATATAATAAATCAATCACTTATTACTAATTGCCTTTAAAGATGAAGTGCATGTTTTGGGGCTACATAAATAAAATTGACACAAACCTTTTATTTTATATGTGAAATTCTTTAATGATAAAGCAGAATTTTATGAAAACAGTAAGATTAAGTTTTATAATTTATCAGTTAAATAATGCTGAGTTGAGCTGAATTTACCAAAGAAAAAGAGCACTGTACTCGCTTTGGGATTGTAATGTATTCTAATAGCCAACCAGTTCCCTACTCTGCGCATGACAAATCTAGAAAAACCGTGAAAATGAAAATAGTATGGTAACTGTGTTCATTGTAGTGTTGTTTGTGTAATCTATAACAGCTTACCTTGTCAAAGTCGAGTCTGTAATACAAAATGTCGTGCACCGCTTGCAAGTTAAAGCTCTCCTCTACTTTGGTAAATGGGCAAATTAATAAATGCAAAAAAGCCACAGTTATGAGTAAAAGCAGTAATGGTTGACACGAAACACTCTTCTTCTTCGCCATGACAATTAAAATATTGTCACTTCCGGTCAACACAGGACGTGTTTTGATATTGTTCAAAATCGTAACATTAGTTTTATAGCAGCCTAGGAAATATGTTGCTAAGAAACGTAACCTAATATTCCGACCAAATCTTAAAAAAACTAAAGTATTTGAAAAAACCACAATTATTCTTCCTGAATTTTCCACATGGGGAAGGCGTTTTTGTCCCCGCGCGTGGCGGTATGTGATTGGTTGTAAATTTGATTGACAGCCAAGTAGACCCTAACAGTATAAGCCACAATTCGACCAACAAGTTGACGCGGAAAAGTATAACCTCATCATTTTCCCTCCCCCTGCTACCGGCATGTAAATAGTATTTTGTTGCGCTTTGCATAGATAGTGATAACTCACGTTTAATGCTAAGAACTGCTCATTTAGATGTGTCAGAACTGTACGGCGCTTTATTAGCAATAGAAAGCTTCCTTGCGAGTGGCTGAAGCCTGTGTCCTGATATGAAATTGGGTCTGAATTGAGCGACTGAGATGCTGTCCACCGGTCCGGAGCTACGGCTAATGAGGCTATTGTCTTGTTTAACTCTTGCTTTACTTTTTCAAGCGAGCGACGCCAAGAGGGACCTAAAAAGCGCCTGTACTACATGCCAGCAAATAACTGATAACTTTAACAAGGTCAGAAACCATTTTAATCTAAGCTTTTAATGGTAACGTTACTGATATGAACTGACGTCTTACCCCAAAATAGTGTGTGCACCTTGCAAACCTACGGCTTGGCTTTAACTTACTCCAGTCCCTGTCCTGTTCTGTAGAAAAATTACCCCGGTTTCATGTTTTAGGGCTTTGACAGAACAGCAAAGCAGAACTTTGGTGGAGGTAACACAGCCTGGGAGGAGAGGAAACTGTCTAAATATGAGACCAGGTAAGACAGTGCATCCTGACCTGTCCAAACTACAGGTCACCCTGACAGTGAAAAGAGCTCTGACAGACGTCAGAGCTGTGCTTGCTTTGCACTGGAGCTGCAGGCTGCTGTACTTGGCACAAAAACCTTATCAAAGGTTTCGATAAGCACCTTGCATTTGAGTCTATATCAAACTGTGTGCCTAAGTGGCTGGTAACATAAGCAAACCTTCAAACTGTAGCCAGGGAGAGTTTCATAGATTTGGGTTCACTGTGACAAGGCCCACTAGAAGTGACAGTTTGTTTTCCTACATTTACACACACATGTGCAATCTTAACCCAGTTTCCATTCTTCCTTATTAATCACACTGGTATACAGTATGTGGTGAAACTTCATTCTACCTCTTCCCTTTTAGCTTCCTATTATTATGCCGTTCTATTTGCTGCTCTTTGTCTGACCAGCTCATCCCACCCTTCTTATTACAGTGAGATTCGTCTGGTGGAGATCTTGGAGGGGCTTTGTGAAAGCAGCAGCTTTGAGTGCAACCGCATGGTAGAAGAGCACGAAGAGCATTTTGAAACTTGGTGGTTCAGGAGGTTTGCGCTTGTTAATAAAACTACTGTCAAAATGTCAGCAGCAAGTTAGTTGAATTTAAACTATAATTTCCAACGCAATAGGATGTAGCACAGCTTAAGACAGACAGATTGATGGCCTGACAGAGGTATCACCTGCAGAGCTATATGCATATCAAAAGATTATTTCACTTAATGTGTTAAACATCATTTCTTCCTGTTTTTTTGTGTTGCAATGCAGGAAAACAAAACATCCTGATCTGCATAGATGGTTCTGCATTGAAATGATCAAAGTGTGCTGCCCCAAGGGAACATTTGGACCAGACTGCAATGGTGAGGAAAAATTGCAGGACAGGTTCTGTTTGTGGCACACCATGACATAATCCACAATCCGATACAATGTATTTAAAAAAAAAACTTGATTAAATGTTTTTGTGTTTTATTTAAGCCTGTGTTGGGGGCTCTGAGAGACCTTGTCACGGTAATGGAAGGTGCGATGGCGATGGTACTCGTGGAGGCAATGGAAAGTGCAGCTGTGTCCACGGTTATAATGGGGAGTTCTGCCTAGACTGCATTGACGGCTACTACAATGAAGTGAGGAATGACACCTTCTCCCTCTGTACAGGTACAATTCAGCACAGACACGACTGCTGCTGCACCACTGACATGTCACCAACCTTCATATAGAAATGAGAAGAAAAATGATCTATTATGACTGTGAATTTGGGCTTCACTTTCCACAGAATGCCACTCCTCTTGCAAGACCTGCACTGGGCCAACTAGTCAGGACTGTGATGAATGCAAAGAAGGCTGGGAGGAAGATGATCAGAAAACATGTGTCGGTAAGAGTACGAGTAGTAACACTACATATAATGAAAATGAGTGTCCAGGTAGTCTAGGATATGCAACAGTGATAACAGTTGTATTCTGATGTGTTGCAGATGTAAATGAGTGCTCCAAAGATCCTTCTCCATGTAAAGAAGATCAGTACTGTCTTAACACAGAAGGTTCCTACTCCTGCAACGGTAAGAGGACTGACACTGTCATGGGCATCAGTGGTTTGCGCAGTATTTTGGTCTGTTAACACATTTGGACACATAGTTATAGTGTGTTGTGTTAATCTGTTGTCATATTAAAGGCCCAATTCCAGTATCTTTTTCCTTTAGAAGGGATATGTCATTTTACTGTTGTGGACTAGATTATACAGGTGTATCTCAATAAATCAGAATATCGTGGAAAAGTCCATTTATTTCAGTAATTCAACCGAAATAGTGAAACTCGTGTGTTATATAAATTCAGTACACAGAGACTGAAGTAGTTTAAGATGTTGGGTCTTTTAATTGTGATGATTTTGGCTCACATTTAACAAAAACCCACCCATAACACCAAACGGCTTGAACTACTTCAGTCTCTATGTACTGAATTTATATAATACACGAGTTTCACTATTTGAGTTGAATTACTGAAATAAATGGACTTTTCCACGATATTCTAATTTACTGAGATGCACCTGTATGTGATATGGTCTGTTGCATCCTTTTCCAGACATCAGGATGTTTGTTTGGGTACTCTTCACTGAAGGAGTTTTCTGAACTATTTATTTAATAGATTTTTTTTGTTGTTGTTGTGCTCATCTTTCACAGCCTGTGACAAAGTGTGCTCTGGCTGCACTGGAGCTGGCCCCGATAAGTGCCAGGCTTGTGCCAGTGGATACCAAGACACAGAGGACACCTGCACAGGTATGATGTAAATAATTAACAATTTTTGAAAGGTCTTATGACTTTATACTGTAAAATCAATTGTAGAAGAATTTGTGAGACATGGGTCAGTGCAAAATCAGTAAAGATAAGGCTGACATTATTCAGTGTTTTTTTATTATTATTTTTGTCAATAAATTCCATGAAAGACAAAAAACAGCAGTGGCTTAGTCCATTTAGTTTCATTTTTTTTCTAATGCTAAATAGTAATCACTGGGCATTGTAGTTTTTAGCAATGTACTCAGTATCTAAATATTTGCAAGTAAGTATTTATGGCAGCACCAGCACAATGTACGTATGTGATTAAACCAAAATAAACTACACTGCCTACAGTATATTCATCACAATGAATGGGCATGTCACCCAGTTCCATAATATGGCTCACTGATGTGTTTTTAAGTCTCTGGACAGAAATGTAGCTTCGTGGCTGAGAGGATTTTAAGGCTTTGGATATGCAGACAATGCATGTTAGTAGGATCAACACATGGTTGTTTTTGATCCTTTCTTTGAAAATGGGATTTGTTGAAAATTACAAAAATATAGAACAGTAACAGACTTAACTTTAAAATTCTGTTGCATCTTTGAGGTTCAACATGCCTTATCAGCACCGTAAGATTCCATTTCCTTGTACATTACCTTACATGCTACTTAGTGATGATGAGCGCTCTTTGTCCTGGGTGATATTACCAGAAGAAAAGATTTTTCAGTTAAGTCTAGTCTGGCTGGCTCATGACTTTCTGTTGTTTTATGTTTCCAGATATTGATGAGTGTTCAGAGGCAGTATGCACAAAGGAGAACCAGGAGTGTGTCAATACTAAAGGCAGCTATGTGTGCATCTGCTCAAGTGGCTATGAGGAGCATGATGGCGAGTGTGTCCAGATGCCACAGCCAGGTGATGATTAGTGTTTGTTTAAAGCTACTCTACCTCTTTTCCCTTCAACCCCTAGAGGGTCTAATGAGATGCAAAACAAGCCAACACCATAAGCTGCTCCTAACTGTCTTTGCCCCTCCTGTCATGCCCTGTTTCCTGGCGACAATGTAAATTAATGGATGCCTGGTTGCAACAAACTGTACAAAAGTCAGCCTCCAGTAAAAAGGCCAACTACTTGAAATGACTACTCACTGTCTGAAAAACCCTCCTTACAGCCTTCACTAGGTGGCAGGTACTTTGCAAACTGTTTAGAAAAGCTGGAATAACAACAGAAGCTATAGCCACCAGAATGTCATGGAGGGGTGTAGTGTAGCTGATGGATAGCACGTCCTGTCCATTTTTATTTGACTTACTAGACACTGTGTAAAATCATGCTTAATGCACTATTAAAGACTAATATGATTGGTTTGTGCCCTTCTCACCCTGAAAACAAATCCAGGTTTTAAGCTGAAGTTGAGAACTGAAAGTTTGTCTGCTTCAAAGTTTTGAAACTAAAGCATATGGAACCAATTGAAATGACATTATATACTGGGTACTGTAGTTTTCCAGTAATGTTATCAATATATTACTTCAAATCTAATCATGAATTATTTTTTCATGCTTCTGCGTCCATTAGAAAAAGCAGAGGAGTCAGAAGCATCTGAGATGACCACAAGTCCACACGGGGAACTTTGATATCATTAGTGGGGCCAGCAGGAGTGAATCAGGTGGAACTCTTGAAATTCTGAACGTGCAGCCTCTCATTTTAAGCGTTGACTACATGCACTTATGTACAGTACCAGTGTTTTCTGGCAGTGGTTCATGGACCGAAGGACAAAAGAAAAGACATTCTAAGCTCAGTATGTTGGTCATTGTTGCTTTTCTCTGCTGTGCTGAAACTACCACTTGTCTGTATTTGTTGTATGATTTTAAAAAGCTAACGCATTTCAATAAAGTTGAATTATGTTAAATTTAAGGTAAATCCATGTCAGAAATGTGTGTGTGTGTGTGTGTGTGTGTATATTTAAAAAAAAAAAAAAAAAAAAAAAAAAAAAAAC